AAAATCATGTTTAGACTATGCTAACCATTACCCTGTCTTTTCCGGTCCCCACTGGATCTTTCTCCTTTCCTTCATCCACTCCCTCCACTCACCACATTGTACAACCTTGTGATTTCATCCCTGCCCGTTCTCACTCTTCTGCTCCCAACCCTTACCCTCTTGGATCTCCATACATGTTTTTTACAATTAAAAGAAAAAAAGAGGACCCAACAGAATGTGGAAATTACTGAACAATATCATTAATATCACATTCAGTAAAATATTGCTGAAGAGTATTATAAAATAACCGAAACAGTAAATATACTGGGAATTTCCAGAAATTCAAGAATACTGCGAAGGTGACCTTGAACAAAAGTTTGAAGAAAGGGATAGAGGGAGGCACTGTCTATGGGATGTTTAGTACTCTTCTCCAACAGCACAGGTCAAAGGCATACATTCTTTTCTGTCATCCTTATTTACTGTCTAGCTCTCAGACACATAAAAAGTGATCAGCAAGACTATGGCCTGAATCAAACACACCTTAGTCCTCAAACGGACAAAAATTTGGAAAGGGCCCTAACTGCAGATTTTCTCAGTGGAATGCATCTCCTTATTTCCTGACTGCTGGTACCGATAATGTTAATTGTGGATCCAATTAAGATGAAGCTGTTGACAGTTTCAATCAGTTCTCCATCTATCATTTTGTTGCTTATCCTCCCATTACCTTTTCCAATTGTTCTCCTGATAGCATGCCAAAGTATGTGAGATGAAATCTTGCTTTCCTTTCTTCTAGCAAATATTATGGTTGTACGTGTTCCAAGATAAATTTGTATTTTATTTTTCTTTCTTGGCATAGTAAAAATTCCTCAAAAGACACAATGAAAATAGCATCAATTCTTCTGTAGTCTTCCATATTTACTGTCCAACTTTCAAACACAGTCAACACTCTTGGTAACAGCAGCCAGGAAATCAAGAGACGAATTGCATTGGGAAAGTCAGCTGTGAGGGACCTCTCAAGAGTACTGAAGAGCAACAACATCAGACTGGAGACTAAGGTGCACTGGGCTATAGTCTTC